TTGTCGACTTTCCAATTAAGTGAAGATGCGCCGCCCTAACATCCCGAGATGAACCCGCTCTGGAAAAACGTCGTACCGGGTGAACTATGTGACCCCCCCTTCCCTCCGTCTCCCCCTCCCCCCCTCGACCCCCTCCTCCTTCCCTGCCTTTCCCCTGTGGCCCTCTGCCTCCCCTCCCCCTTCCTTTCCCCCTCCCTTCCCGCCTCCCTCACTCTGGATGGGCAGACGTGGCCTCGTGGCACTGGGCACTGGCACTCAGGGTCGACGGGGTGGGGGGGCGGGGAGGCCTCGGCGGCGGCGAGTGCCTGGAATTAGGTAACGCTGGGCTTCTTTTTATGCCTGGAAGGTTAACGGTAGAGACCAGGCCGGAGTGCATATACGGGGGTAATTGCCAGGCCGAGAGGGAGGAAGCGAAGACGTTCAAGGGCGCTTCTCGCTGCGAGTAAACATTAGGGCTAAATTGCCAGTCATTACCCGAATGTCACTTTTATATCTCGGCAATCAAAGGGGAAATTGCGCGCGCGATGCGATTTTCTTGTAAGTCTCTGGGAATAATTTCGGGAAATCGTTTCATATCGCATTTTCTCCCTCTTCAGTGACAAAACCTCCCGAATCTCCTTCTAAACGGGGATTTTAGAAATGTCTCCTCGCATTTCCCTCCAACCTAAACGAGGATTTCGAAGCGGAGAAACTAGCGTGACTTTGAAGAAAATGGAAGGCGAAATGCGAATTTTCGAGCTCGCGTTTCCCGCCAACTTACTAGCATTATACGCCCGCCACACACCTCCTTCACCGATGACGCAACACCACCCAAGCCCCGCCCACCGCCTCTCATTCCGGGCTGTGATTGGCGAGGGGAGAGGGGGGGAGGAGACACGGAGCGAGGGTGTGGGAAGGAGAGGAGATAGATAGATAGAGAGAGAGAACGAGGCGGAAGAGAAAAGGAAATAGGTAAAGATGTAAAGAGTACGAATCGATGGATAGATAGATCGATGGGTGGTAGATAAACAGATAAGTAGGTAGGTTGGTAGATAAATAGGTTGATAGATAGATATATAAATTGATTGAAAGATAGATAAATTGATAGATAGATACTGATAAACAGTTTGACCTATATATATATATATGTATATATATATATATAAATATATACATGCATATATATATGTATATATATATATATATGTGTCTGTGTGTGTGTGTGTGTGTGTGTGTGTGTGTGTGTGTGTGTGTGTGTGTGTGTGTGTGTGTGTGTGTGTGTGTGTGTGTATGCGTGTGTGTGCACATATACATATATATGTATATGTATATATATATATATATATATATATATATATATATATATATACATAAATGTGTATACTTATGCATATAGATACACATATATATATACACACACATATAGACAAACATATATGTATATCTATATCTATATCTCTCTCTATATATATACATATACATACATACATACATACATACATACACACACACACACACACACACACACACACACACACACACACACACATATATATATATATATATATATATATATATATATATATATATATATATATATATGCTGTATATATATATATATATATATATACATATACATACATACATATATATATATATATATATATATATATATATATATATATATATATATATATATATATATATGCTGTATATATATACATATGTATATCTACATATACATGTATATATATATATATATATATATATATATATATATATATATATATATATATATATATATATATATATACATATATATATATGTGTATATTTATACATATGTATATCTACATATATATGTATATATATATATATATATATATATATATATATATATATATATATTATATATATATATATATATATATATATATATATATATATATATATATATATATACATATACACAAACTAGCGTAAACAACAAACAAGCCGTCGTACTTTGGTCCATGCAACTCAACAAAATCCAGACGTTTCGGCCGCCCCTCTGTCCCTCTCCAACGGCAACACTGAAAATCTGGATAAGCAATGACGAATCCTGCAGATATTTACAAATCAACTGAGATGATACAGACGATACAGTAATCATGAGATAGATTTCTATTGTATGTATCCTTTACTATGCTCTTATTAATGTCCTTAGCCTAGCCTATACTATTTCTTGTTAAATTAAGGTTTGTATCATAATTAATGTGTTTGTATCATAATAAATGATTTTGTATCATAATTAATGTGTTTGTATCATAATAAATGTTTTTGTATCATAATTACTGTGTTTGTATCATAGTAATTCAATTCTCATTTGCATTTCATAATTACTTATATCGTTTGTATTTTCTCAGTTGATCTGTAAATATTTGAAGAACTTATTATCCATATCTTACAGTGTTACCATTGAAGAAGGGTGGACGCTCGCCCGAAACGTCTAGGTATTGATAAATTTAATGGACCAAAGGCTAGTTTGTTGCCTACCCAGTGATAATGATCGTTGCAACATTTTTAGAGTTTTACTATTTCTCCGCTCCCCCCCCCCCCCTTGGAAGTCCAACTACTTCTGTTATTGCTAAAAGGTATGATAACTATGCGTTGAAAGTATATGGAAAATGCCAAATGTTTTCTTACATTGCATACAAAATAAAATTGGATTTAATCTTTCTTAATGCTTGATAAACAAACTGGTTCCTAAATTCTTAGGATTTAAACTATGGAAATAAGATAAGGATAATGAGAAAATATATTAGGATCTTTAGGAAAAAAAAAAAAAAACTATTGGAAATTGAAATCAAGAAAATCTCGATATTAAAAGTTTCAGAATAAAAAGGTCAGAGATTAAACCCTATTACTTCTTGGCTTGATTTCAATTATCTGAAGGTTCATTCAGAATCTAGTGATGCTAATAATCAAAAGAAAATTGAATATGTATATAAACGCAAACTTTTCCTATTAGCATATAATTATTTCAAATATTCTCTCGCTGTTGATTAATGTAAACTTGCCTTTAAAACTAAATGATAGTAATAATGATAATAATAATAATAATAATAATAATAGTAATAATAATGATAATGATAGCTAAGAGTCCAAATTTTTGGTATTTCAACCAACTAAATTGAATTTTGCTATTTTTCCCAATCTTTTGAAAATTTGGTCAAGTGTCACAGGCTCAAAACCTTAGAAAATCTTAGAACAAAAATGTCGATTGACGCGTTTTCTTCAAATTCGCAAATCTATTAAAATTCTTAAAGGAATCACTGCGGCTCAGTTTGTTGACGACTTTTTGGCAATTGCAACGCGTTGATCTTCCCTCGAGAGCGAACGTCATCAGAGATCCCTCGGCAATAAACTTAAGCTCAATGATAAACAAAATTATCTGAATGATAAACTTAATCTTTGATTCTTTGCTCACGTAGCGCTTGGGGTGAAATTTCGCTGGCTGACTCGGTCGGAAATTTGTCGTCTTATTCTTTATAATTTCATGAAACCGATTTTTGTTTTTTGGTTTGTCGTTCGTTGCTAAATCCAGGGCTAATCACTGTTTGAATTGTGATAAAGGTCTTGATAGGTTCGTTTCGAAACAAAATAAATCCTCGATTAAAGATCTCTGCTACCTTAAAGGCCTTATGTTAAATCCGATTCTTGATTTATTTGACGATTTCGAAGGCTTACCCCGACGTTATTTTTGGCCACCAAATCATATATATATGTATATTTTCTTCTTCTTTTTCTTTTTTAACCCATTCCCGCCGGGCATGCCATGCCATGGCCACTGTGAGATTACTTGTTAGATTGTTTTCACACATAGATGGCTACACTTGTACTAAATCCCCAATGAGCCAGTTACGAGTACCGCCTGTCTCGCCCGTTCACCCTTTTCTTTGATTTACGAAATATTTTACGTTATCTTACTTTGCTGTTACTTATGTTAAAAAAACATTATAAAAATTAGTGTTTATGATAAAAATAACACCATCGATATTCATGGCACTAGTGAAAAATACGTTTTTCATTTTTTTTACAACAGTCATTTATTCCACTGCAGGAAATCGGTTTCTCTCAGTTCATTAATTGAGAGATTGAGCCGTTTCACCGTTGACCGTTTGGATGCCCTTCCTAATCAACCGCAGTTCGGCGCGCTAACACTTGTGCCACGGCGGCGACTTCCCCTACGACACCTGCGGTTGACTTCTCAAGGCGATATGTCGTTTTCTCGTCGTGAGATCGGGCTCGAGCGAGCAAGCAGAGCACAGGGATTTTTACGACTGCCGCGACGGGGAATTGAACTTGAACAGTGATTTGAAGTCCAGTGCTCTAACCATTGGCCCATCGCGGCAGCCATACATACATATACATAATATGTATATATATATACATACACACACACACACACATACATATATATATATATACATGTATGTATGTATTAACCCATTGCCGCCGGGCATGGCATGTACGTACATGCCATGCCCACTGTGAGTCGACTTGTTCGATTGTTTTTACACATAGATGGCTACACTTGTACTAAGTATCCAATGAGCTAATTACGAGTACTGCCTGTCTCGCCCATTAACCCTTTTCATCAATTTACGAAAATATTTAACGTTATCCTAATTTGCTGTTAAAAATAACACCATCTATATTTATAGCATTTGTAAAAATACGTTTATTCCCGCCAATTCAAGGAAAGGTGAAATCTGGACTAGCAGAGCCATCTATGGCCAGAGATATTTCACAAAAATATAAAAAATGAGTACTGCATTTCCCCCATTTTTTGTTCATTTTCCCCGGCGGCAATGGGTTAATATGAAGGATCGATAAATAACAACCATCCCAGACCAGGAGGGTCATGTTGATATAGTACTGGCCCTCTGGTTTCATATCTGGAATGACCTGAGTTCGAGTCCTGGTCAGAGAGTTGTTATATATATATATATATATATAGATATAGATATAGATATAGA